GAATCACTTAAGAGCTCAAAAGCTCATAATATTTGAGACATGAGAGCTTTAAGCTTAAAGTTGCGCGAAAACTTAAAAACTCATAATCTTCAAGACATGAAAGCTTGGAAGCTCATTGGAGAAGGGTCCTACCTTTAGTTTGTTTATCATGGCATTAAGGGCGACCTGGGGATAAAGTTCCTTTATCTTATTGGTTATGGCTAAGAGTCTCTCCATGAAGGCTCGAAGTGGCTCGTTGTCATATTGTTTAAGGTTAAGTAGGGTCAAAGTTGATGTTTCATGAGGTCGACTAGTGGTGAAGTGCTCCTTGAATTGTTGCCTCAAAGTGACAAATTTTGGTATACTCATTGGGTGCAAGCATGTGTACTATAATAAGGCAGGACCTTAAGCGTTATTGGGAAGACCTTACACAAGATGACCTCATCATATGTGTATAGGTGCATCCTAATCATGTAAGTAGTGAGGTGCCCGTCTGGGCATGTCAATCGTCATAGGTCTTCATGGCGATGTGTTTCCATCCTTAAGGAGCGACACTTTGATCACATCATTGATGAAGGGGTGACCACAACCTTCTTCGACATATTTCACTAGCTTGATCTGAGGGTCAACCAAGTTGGAAGCCTTGCGTGGTATGAATGTCTCTTGTGGACTGGGAGGTTATGTATTTGATGGAAGTACTTGGAGAGGATTGATATTCTTCCAAGCTTTCCATGAAAGGACCGAAATGCTCCATGAGGTTGAACTCCTTGAAGGTGGCGGAATCACCTTGGAGGATTCTCCAATGGTGGAGAAACACCTAAGAGAGGTTCGGTTACCTCTTGAAGAAGTGAAGAAGCTTGAGAAACCAAGCTTCTAGGAGAAGGAACCTTGAGAGAGAACCTAGGAGGAGGTTTCTCATGAAATTGACTCTTGAAAATGATAGAGAAATCTGATTTCTAATTCTCATAAATGTCCAAAAGTGAGTACAAGTGTAGAGAAAATAAATATATATAGGGAGAGGTAGCTTCTAGGAGAAGCTAACCTTAACCATGGTTCACTAGGAACCATGTTAAGATGAAGCTAACCATCCATGGTTTCTAAAACTTGTAGGAGAAACTAACATTGACCATGGTTCACTTAATAACCATGGTAAGGTCAACCTAACCTACCAAGGTTTAGAAACTTGGAGGAGAAGCTTCAAAACTAGAAGGAAGACTAAGTGAATTTCGGCCATGAACAAGGAAGAAAGGCTAAGCGGCCTTGGCTCAAAATTGCTCCATGAATTAATTCAAAAATATTTGATTTGGTTTAGTTAGGTTCATCATATGATGATGAGACCTAGCTAAATCAAATCTATGAAAAATTAGGAGCAAAACGAGTCCAATATGCAAAATTTTGCCTAGGCCCAGTTCTGGCCCAATTACTAGTCACACTCCCTAGCTTTGCTAATTGTCACCCCCTTTTCTCTACTGAAAAAATACAAAATGAATGTATCAACTAGGGAGGTTAAATGGAGTTAAACTCTCCAAGTAACCCACCCTAAAATCAATATACAATCACTAGTTAAAAGCAAGTAAAGTGCCTCACAAATACAAAGGCAAAAATAAGTCTATACAAAGAGACTACTATATGTACAAACATATGAAAGGTCTTTAATATTATCTCATTCCTCTTGATTCTTTTAAGATATCACCTCTTGATTCCTTGGCCTTGGCCATAGTCTATCAGTATTTCTTCATTGCAAAATCGCTTGCTCTTGTACAAGTGTTACTATTCTTCTAGCCCAAGGCTCAAAGCTCCTGCTCTTATCATGCACAATTGGCCTTGTGTTGTTGGTAGATAGCTTCCAAGGCTTCCTTATTGAGCTTCTGCATGGCCTCCACGTATCGTAGAGGTTTAACGGCAAATGGCATGATAAACAGCATCGTGGGTGTGGCATACAGTGTCGTGATCGCATTAAACATTGTTGTGGGCACAATGAATAGTGTTGCAAACAACAATATTGGGAGATCCACTTTCATTCACCTAGGGGCCTTTCCAACCAGCCTCTCAATGACCCCAACATCCTTAGAGGCCATGAACATATCTTCCCATGTGTTAGATGAATAATCTATATCATCCTCAGGTCAACTTCATTCACTATCTTCTCATCATCAAAACTGACTTTCAACTTGTTATAAGGGAAACCCATAGCAAAAAAGGCTACTTAATGAATAGCTGTCTAGAAACCACGTGTATGTTCGTATAACATGGCCTTATCCAAGGTCACTAAGCTAGCCTCATACTCCCTCCTCTATGCCAAAAGCAAAACACGCTAAAAGGACAAATTACCCACCTCGCTAGCGAACTTATCACACTTGCATAACATTGCATCCTTCTTGGTGGTAAGTTTTGCCACTTGGGAAGCAGAGCATCTACCTTCCTTCTCAGAGATTGTCTCTCGCTAATCAACCTCTCTCTTTAACCATCAAGACGCACGCACATAATGGCCAATGCAGCCTCTCCGATCAGCTAGTATCTAACTTGAAACCAAGTATCCTAATTTCTACTGTCAACACATCTTTATCCCCTTGAGCAAAACTATCATCTCTCAACCCACACTCAACATGGTCAAACTTAACTCTAGAACCCACCTACTTTGACATAATATCTGGATACCTTAAACAAAAAACCACATCACAAGAATCCAAAGGCGCAAATACCTGACCTCGCATAAACACTTACACTATAGTTGAAAAAGTTTCTGACGTCACCCCTAACAAAGGCATTTTGCTTATACAGAGCCATAAAATGACGAAAGAGAAGCTACCTCACTTTATTCCTGACAAATGTGGCAAAGAAGAAGAAAAATACCTTATATATTCCAAGTCTAAAAGATAACAATGCAAGAAGAAGTTCACTACCAAAGAAACAACAAAAAAATAACACAAAAATAACATACATCAAGACATGTCCTACATTAATAACACACAGATAACCATCACTTCCTCATTATAAATCAATGACAAACATCCCAAATAATTACTGGTCAACAACCCAAATCTAGCTAACCTCACAAGCGCACCAGCTTAATACAACCCCACTCATAACTGACAACTCCTTCACCCTAACGAGCTCAGAACTCGTGGGGCTTATGTACTACTTAGCTTGAACAAATTAAGATGACCCCGTGCCTAACTTGGAATACTGGCTAGCTTAGCATGACCTCACACATAACTTCCTCGCTCTAACGAGTTTGGAGCTTGGGGGACTTATGTATCATCCAGTTTGACTAAGCTAGGCTAACCACATGCCTAAATGAGCCGAGTAGGGTACAAGCCCACTTATAACACGACAAAGAAAAACTCATTCCCAACAACTATGGGAGTATCTCTACTTATCATGTATAATATTTTTACACAATCATTGAAATATATCCCCCAAAATATCATGCAACATTAACAACTATGGGAGTATCTTTACTTATCATGTATAATATTTTTACACAATCATTGAAATATATCCCCCAAAATATCATGCAACATTATCTCTGTGTATCATATCTCCAGAATCAGGAATTACAATATCAAGAACAATATCTATGTTTATAGACAATAATACCTCCTAAAATCATGTAATATTATTTCTAAACTTAGAGATAAGATCAATCACCTATATATAAAACATTAAGTATCACTTTAATCTTAATCTTACTCTTAACCTAGATTCCCTTTAACTTAAACATCAAAGTATTTTTGCAAGTGTCTCTATACCATTGTTGACATTTGAGCAACAAGGGCATCACCTTGGTTGCCAACGTACTTACAAAACTTGGTAAGAACATACCACATTAAGAGAAGGGGAGAAGGAATAATTTTTACCCATAAATTGCAATACTTGGTCTATTTCCATTTAAATAAATGAACATTTCTTATTTTGGTCAAATTAATCATTCATTTTGAAATTTGTTCCATCAAATACTATTATTTTATTTATTTTCATAAATTAATTGAAATAACTTGTAAACTTAAAAAATATTTATTAATTTACTTGAAACTAGTATTCACCCGTTTTAACTTTGAAACTTTTTTACATATTCTATTTCTTTCATTATCATTATCAAATAAATAAATATATTATTTTATATTTATCAATTAACTTATTAACTAATCTTACTTAAATACTTTTAATTCAATTATTCAATCGATTACTTATAAGAATACGATTTTTTATCTCTTAATTTATATCTTATGAAAAGACTTCGCCTAGCATGTAAATTAATTTTATCAGACAAGCCTAACCCGACACTAGAGATACTAGTGGTTGAGCAAAATTGCTTTAAAGCCTAGTGTATAATATTATTGAATTCTTTTAAAAAAATTTATACTAACAATTAATTAGATATTTTAATTACATTATTTTATTATAAATACATTTAATTTTAATAGTAATATAACACAATTAAAAAATTTAATTGATTATTAATATAAAAAAATTTTACACTAGAAGTGTATAAGTGATTAACTCATAAGACATGATTTCCAAAACTCAGATAAATATTACATTACATGATTAAAATAGTTTCTTTAAATATACAATTAACAATTATAATTGTAGCTGTGAAGGAAAAAAGAAAACTATTAAAGTAGTTATATAATTTCCTTTAAATTATAGGACGTGGCAACATCAGATATTTTAAATTTATAAATTTGAACAGTAAAATCATTTGATGTATGTTTATAAAGAGAAAAGAAATAGGTAAAAAAAATAGAATCAAGATAAATAAATAATAAATAATAAATATACACATATAAAAATAAAAATAAATAAAAGAGTGAAACGTATCCATTTTAATATGTCATCCTTGTATTTTATTTTTATGTATTTTTCCACGTTCCACCTTATTGCTTACATTTCCCCTTAATCAAATAATGCATTGAAGTTGTTAATAACAACAACGCCCACGTTTGGAAGCTATAAAAGCCAGAGACGCGCCTTTCCAGCCTGGCTTCCTACCATGTTGTTCTATATGGGGCCCACAACCCAACCATACAACCGGGAAATTTCGAAAATACCCCCACCCCTTCACAAAAATACTCGTCATCATTCTTCTTGGTCTGGTTTCGACTATTCCCCTTCACCATGCCACCGACACTCACTCACACACTCCCACACTTGCTGTTCTTCGTCTTTTTCTTAGCCGTCCAGGCGCATATTCCGCCCACCGGACTCTCCGCCGAGCTTCCAGCGTTCCGCGAAGCGCCGGCATTCCGCAACGGAAGAGAATGCCGCAACCGACCTCACACGGATTCCCTCATCCACATCGCCATGACTCTCGACGCCACGTACCTTCGCGGCTCCGTCGCCGGCGTCTTCTCCGTGCTCCAGCACGCGTCGTGTCCGGAGAACGTCGTGTTCCACTTCATCGCCACCACGCGCCGCCGCCCGGAGCTCCGCCGCATCATCACTACCACGTTCCCGTACCTCACCTTCCACCTCTACTACTTCGATGCGAACCTCGTGCGCGGCAAGATCTCGTACTCGATCCGCCGCGCGCTCGATCAGCCGCTAAACTACGCGCGGATGTACCTCGCCGACCTGCTTCCGGCGACCGTCCGGCGAATCATTTACTTCGACTCCGACCTGATCGTCGTCGATGACGTGGCGAAGCTGTGGAGCATCGACCTCCACGCGCGCGTGCTCGGAGCGCCGGAGTACTGTCACGCCAACTTCACGAACTACTTCACGCACCGCTTCTGGTCGAACCCTGCCTACGCGGCGTCGTTTAAGGGACGCGCCGCCTGCTACTTCAACACCGGCGTGATGGTGATCGATCTGTGGAAGTGGCGCGAGGGACGCTACACGGAGAAGCTCGAGACGTGGATGCGGATCCAGAAGCGGAACAGGATCTACGAGCTCGGATCGTTGCCGCCGTTCCTCCTCGTCTTCGCCGGCGACGTAGAGCGCGTGGCGCACCGGTGGAACCAGCACGGCCTCGGCGGCGACAATCTCGAAGGGCTTTGCCGCGACCTGCATCCCGGTCCGGTGAGTCTCCTCCACTGGAGCGGCAAGGGGAAGCCGTGGCTCCGAATCGATTCCAAGAAGCCTTGTCCGTTGGATGGCCTTTGGGCGCCCTACGATCTGTTTCGCCAGTCTCCGTCGATTTTCTCCGATTCGTAGTTAGGGTTTTTGGTTTTTCGCCGCGAGGGTGCATGGTTTTACCGTGGGGAGTGCGTCACCCGATTGCTGCTCGCCCAGCTGGAAGGATGTGTCATGTGTGTGATAGGAAATGAGACGAGTGCGACGAAAATGTGTATACGTGGATTGTGGGTGACGTGGTTATGTCTTTCAGTGATGTGATACGGTGACGTAGACATAGAGACCGTGTTTGGATGAAGATGAGGATGATGATTAGCTTTATGCATATCCAAAATAAGGGAAGAGAAATAGGAAAAAGGCTTGCTTATATTGGATTAGATTTCAATTTTTTAAATTAATTATAAAATCACGTTGAAGGTTAAAATTACAAATAATTACTTCAATTTTGTTAACTATTCACCGTGATTTTGGTAAGAAGCAACACAACACTCATATTAACGGCCAATGGATGTTCTCATTGCACGCAATTCATCACAACAATATGGGGCTTACTGGTAGGCTGTGTGACATTGTTTTCTGGCCACTGGTGTTAAAATTTGGTATGATTGCACTCTTATTAACTTTTACTTAAATTAAATTGCATTGCGGTGGTCTGCCGAGATACACTCTTGAAACTTGAAACTAGCAAGTCTATTCAAGAAGAAATTTGAAGAATTCATGACCTACGAGATAGAGGGGGATCAAAAATGAACTGTAGATTGTCTCTGCAAGTTGTTTATTCTAATGAGAGCATTTCCAGTGTAGCAAAAGATTGGAAATAAATATCAGAAACTCAAATTGCATGATATGATGAGATAAGCTTTCAGGTACAGAAAAGAAGTTCAAAAGCACTTGGTTGATCATTTCCTCTTTAAATAAATTTCACTGTGTTTAGCAGGCATGACTATAGGATGATCCCTTAATATTTTGACTCCATCCAACAATTTGTAAATTTGTTGCTTGCTAGTTCCCAATTATCACAAACTTTGACCAAGAAGAAATTGTTTTCATTTAAGAATGGTTATCCCTCGGAAGGGCACCTACCTGATATGAATTAATATGCAATTCAAGGCAAACTTAGAAATAAAGATAAAGATTGACTTAGCTAAATGAGAGGAAATTAATTTTCTCCTTCACAAGACCAATCAAGAGCTTACAATAATGCAGCTGAGAACAAAAAGTGCTATAAAAATATGGCACCATCCTAAAAGTCAATTGAGAAAAATAAAAAAATAAAGACAAAGATTGACTTAGTTGAAAGAAACAGGAAATTAACTTTCTTTTTCACTAGACCAATCAAGAGTTTATCAACTTTTTTTGGGTACAAAGCCACAAGTATTCTCCATGACAACTCTAATCTATTAAAATTGCATCTTTTTAAGGGTTGAACTAATTAAATTGCTACCTGTCCATAGCAAAGGAAACAATAACTAGTTTGTTTTACAAAAGACTCGAAGAAAGGGAAAAAATCATTTCTATTTAACATGTCTGAGTTTTATGCCAAAAATAACTTCAGCTTTTTATTCCACATCAGATTGTATGTCACAATGATTAAAATGTCTAATAAGTATATCTAAAAACAAAATTATGACTACTAAACCAACCACAACCAAGAAGTAGCTACTACTAGTTCCTTATAAAACCCAATGATAGATTTGGTGAGTGTAAAGGCAACAATGGGTTTATGCATCTCCAAAATAATTTACCAAGGGGGGAGGAGAAAAACAAAAAAGGGGTTTGTTTATATATTACCAGCCAATGGATGTTCACGATGCACACAATTCATCGGAACAACCACCAATATATTAAACTCTACCGTTTAATAGTTTAAAATTGTCTACTTGTTTACTTGGAATCCATTGTTGCAGCTGCAATATATTTAATGTAATATGTGTATTTTACGCAGGAAGGTTTCAAGTGTATTTCTTAAGATTGTAGTCTATCTTTTGCATTATGATTTCAGTTTACATTATTACATGATACTCTCTTACCTTAATCATTGTCATGCCATTTAATGTCTTAAATCAATGAAAGGCTTTAAAAAAAAAATAGCATATGACTGCATTTTCCCCTGGTTTTACTATGTTCCAGATGGTGGAGTGATCACTGAAGCAGGGACTCGTAGATCGAACAAGTTCAACTGCTTGTTTTTTGGTAACCTTGCAGCATGCCGATCGGTTCTTTATGGGGAGTTAATAGCCTTGGATACTACTGCATTGGTGGTTCATATATTTGAAATTATAAGACTGTAAGATGGTTCATTATTTATATCATGGAGTGCCAGATAGCCGGGTGGTAGAAATCGAAAGTCATCCATTAAATTGGTCATCTCGTGAACCGAGGAAACATGGTTGTCAAGTGATGTAGTTTATTATCATAAACTGTTATGAGACCATTTACTTTTTAAAATTTATACTGTAAGCGAATACACAGTTAATGTATTTATTATTTTATAACAGCTAATGCACAGTTAGTGCCTCAATAATTCAATTTATATATTGGTGTTCTTGTGTTATGTATTCGTTTTGACTCATTTTTATGGATTTTTTATTCCAATTTTTTTGCATATTAATAATGCTAGAACCATTACATAGTCAACCCATGAAACTTCTGTTCTGCGGATCCTTTGATTGTTCTGCAACCAACTTCTAAATTGCAAATGTTTTATTTATCCCTTTTCATTTGTGCAGCTGGTTTGCAGCTTAAACCTGCCTTTTGAAATTAATTTCATGACATTCAATTTAGAGTTTCTTCCGAGCTGTTTAACAATTCTTCTCCCCTTCAAAATTATCAGCTAGCAAGGAATACGATGAATGGTGGAATGAATATCAATTATTTGTCAAGGTTTCATAATAAAAAATCCCACTACTTTAAAACATTGTTGTTTTTAAAATTTAGATTCTTAAGAAGCTCTGCAATAAGATTTAAAGAATAGAACTTTTCTCACCTATCTCTGACCAGTTTATTAGTTGGGAGAGGGGATTCGTTTTTCCATATCCTACCCTCTGTATGACAATACATAGTGTTTGTAAGTATCATAGATAAAAATCAAAGGATGATTTATCTTTGTTCTGTAGCTGCATGCATATTTTTATTTAAAAACTGCTTGACAACGTAAGGAAAATCTGTTGTGAATCATAAGACTTTACTTCTGAAGTTTAAAAACATCTTTTTAACATTTCTACAAGAGACGGTCAAGGTTATTTGATATTGTCTAGAAGCTGGTTTTTTGAGATTCTACTGGTAGCTGAGTTTGTATGTGCTGTTCACGCCCTAGGGATTGATTTCATCATTGTAATTATTTTACCATTTTTCACTTATCCTGAAACTATGGATGATTTTTAATGGAAATCTGGACTCGTTATGCCGGATGTTGATCTGGTTGCCTGAGATGTGACTGTTAGCCTGTTATGTGTGAAAATAATAAAGATCTTGCAGAAGCATAAATAATTGAAATCTAGATATGTTTAAATTAGTTATAGAAAGTTGATTTCCGTATCCAGCTTATTTATCTACTAAACTATTTACAATATCACTCACTTTTTCCCCCTTTCTTCTTGTTATTTGTTTCGGGTTCTTGAGATCTTTTTGTTCTGTCTTTTGAAACCTTGGTAATGTGTTTAGTGTTCCATAACCAATGCCCTTAGGACATTGGTTGGTAAGACCCTTTATTAAACTCAATGATAGATTTCAGAATATAGAGAATCTGTGAGAAAATGAGAGAAAGTGATAAAAATTAAGGGAGGGAGATTTGATCTGAAAACAGAAGCTAGAACTATTGTTGAATTGAATGACTGATCAGAGATCAGAAACAGCGTATATAGTAAGAGCCATCTTTCTATCGGTAAAGAATCTATCAACACAATAGCCAACTGAAACTGATAGCTAGCCTGAGTCAGTTGAAACAAAATCCAAACAGATAACTGGACTCAGTTGCATGGTGCATAATGGAAAGATACTAACTACTCTAAAATTTTATTGTTTGTTAACCAATTTTTTTCCATCGCCTTGAAAAATAGTATAAAAAATTATCTGGTACATATATGGTCTGTTTAAAAACTGGGTCTGTTTAGATGTGTGTATTCTGGAGCTTGGATATTCACAATGCTCACAATTCATCAGAACAATATGGGGTTTACTGTTAAGTTGTGTGACCGAATGGGACCATCAGCATTATAGATATAATTATAAACAAGGGAGAACTTCAAACCATCAGCATTACAGGAACAAGAATGAAGTCAAACACAGTAGGTCTATACATTAATCAGATAAACAAGGCCAATCTCATACGGTGTTGAACTTTTGGCCTGCAAATCATAACAAGAAGAAACCTCACTATAATTTAATTGCAAAAATTATAGAAAAAGGCTTATGCAAGAAGATAAAACCAGGTGAATGAAATTTAGGAAGAATAATATTAGTCATAAAAGTGGTAAGCGCAACACTTGGACCAAGTTGATCCAAACTTCATTTTCATTGGAATTGCATTCATGTCTAGAGTCTAAGCCAATATTTTCCTTTCAGGCAAGTTTCAAACCATCATTAGCCTATAAATTCATCAGCAATACAGAAGAGGAACCCTTTTAACCGATAATTTGATTGGGAAGCAAGTTAAGATAAAAAAAGATATTCATAGCCATGCTGCATGTGCAATATATTAATTTGCCAGGATATGTCAATATCTGCAGATACATAAGGAAGATCCTGTAAATTTATGGTCATACGGCTCATCATTTTATTTCTTATGACCAATTAGGCAACAAAAAAACCTGAGTTCTACTTTTACAGTTTCACTGAGACATAGGATAACTAAGATTCAGTTGATGTGGTTGCGGTGTCATCTTTGTGCTTGATCATACCAGAATCCACAAGAATGGGAACCTCGGCTGCAAGCCACGGTGCAAGGCCTAAGCAAAGTGCGTGTGCAATACCAAATCTGGGACTGTAAAAGAAAGCCAAGTATAGAAACATATCGATATTAAAATTCAGTAAAACCTTATGAGGATGCTCAATAAAATCTTCTATCACAAAATTAATGACATTTAACCCCTAAAAGTATGTCCCAGATTGCAGTATGAAATCATTGTCAAGAGGATGCTCCATAAAAGATTCCGAAGTTTGAAATCATTGTTAGGTTGCAGTCAAAACGAAAGAGATTGTGGAGGTAAATGCAACAGTCTCAAATCACCACTGGAACACCACTCATGAAATTGAAATAGTACGCTCCACTTCAATATTCTGGTATAGTAAATTAACTGAGGTATTATTAAGCTACCTAAATGTGCCCTTGCAACAAGTACTCAAAATGTTCAGGCTAGTGATGCACAACGGATACCTCTTAGATAGTTAGATGCACTATAAATATTCTCTGGTTTAGATATTGATTGATGAAGAAAATCACTTACCAGAGGATCCTAATTGATTATTGTTGGAATCATAATAACCCTAATTAATGTGTTAGTGGTGCTATTCTCTAATCAAAATTGAAATTTCACATGGGTAATATTTGTAATAAAGAATTCTGTTAAATGTCTACGCGTATTACTTAAGTAAATATCTAATTCTGATTGAAAAGCAGTACTAACAATGCATAGAGTACCGCATCTAAGTTTTGTCCTTATTGAAATCCCATTAGTTCTCAGTTCTTGTTGGTCCATTCCACACCAATTTTATCTTCAGAGCCAGGTACTAATTTCACATAGTCAAAACCTAACAAGCCCTAATAATCTAAATTATGACATAACGATGCTTCTAGTTTAGTGTAAAAGCCATTCTTCAATTTTCATAGGCAAAACTAAATATGATAGAAGAAAAAGCGCACCAATTTTTGGCCCAGAGAGGCTTGAAGTGCACGGTCAAGCAGATCTTTCCACCCCTATACATCTGTAAGAGAAGAGAAGAGAGTAATTAAAAAAAGAAAAAAGGTTTTGGAAGGGAAAAAGGGGGATTAAAAAAAAGAGAGGGAAAAAGAGAACCTTTTGGGTCTTTCCATCCAATTGAGGGAGTTCGAGTTCGGGAGCGGTGGAAGGGTAAGTGACGGGGATATCGAATTGAAGGTCGAATTCGTACTTGAGGAGGTTGTAGACGTACCAGCATTTACCGGTCCAACGAGTGCCTTGGGGGTTGGCGGCGGAGATGCGGAACCAATCGTTGTCGTTGGATTTGTTCATCTGTGTGTAGGCAATGAGAGACTTGTACTCCTCCTTCAGCCTCTGCGTCCATGCCGCGCCGTCACGTGGACCCGCCTTCCTCGTCAGCAATGGGATCTGTGTCAAAGTCGACTTCGTGTTCGGGTCCCAACCTTCCATCTCTCACTCTGCTTTCACCCCACGCTGTTATCTTATTACCATGCTGCTTCCCTCTTTTATACCGAAAATGTAGGGTATATTTACTCATTATTCTATAAATAATATCTATCTATACATATAATTCAGATATATTTTCATAATTTTTTTTTTATTTTTTTTATAATAAATTATTATATTTTTTATTAAAAAATATATTATATCATTTTTAAATAATTATCTGTAATTTTTAATATTTATTTATATAATTATTAGAAATACAAAGTGTTTCAGTGTATATAATAATGTTTTTAAATATTATGTGATAATATCTTAATTATCTTTTTAAATTATAAACTATAATAATATAATTAACTTTTATAACTTTAATAATTATATATTATTATATTATTAGTATAAAAATCAAATTATGAGCCTACATGCATCTAAATGTCATTTAATAAGCATTTAAGATGAATTTAGGTGTGACCCAAATTTAACTCAAATGACTTTTAAATGAAACTTATATTTAGCCACACTTGCCTACTTTAGTATTCCTTCTAATTTCCTACTCTAAGGGCCTAAATACAGTGGCCAATCAAATACAAACAATAGAAAATATAAAGAAACGTAATGAGCCCAATATTAGGTACCAAAATACCTAAGGCCTATAAAACCCAAAAACAGACCCACTAAGCCTATGGCCTAAAATCCTAATCTAAATGGTCAAAAAATACAAGACCAAACACATGTAACTCCTACACTACAACAAGAGATACATTAAATGTGGTTCACTGTACTATGTGAAGAGTGCCATGGGTCCACTAAGCCCATTGGACCCACCAAACTCTGAAGCAGTAAAGTCTTCTTATAATCTCTTGGCCACAACTCTAGTGGTTGGACCTTTGGTCCATGCTCGTCCATCATTATATATGCACAAAAAATTGGATCAAAAGAAAATGAATATTATACAAGGTTGAATGAAGGAGTTGATATTGCTTAATAATTTGTAACAAGAAGTAGGTAAATATGAGACTTATCACTAGTTCAACCCATCATTTAACTTGTTGGGTTAGTGAGTTAGAGGTTGAAAAGTGAAATAAAATCCAACTCATTTAGGTGAATTTTGATCAATTCATTGGGTTAAATCTATTTTGACATTCCTTTGTTTAGTTATCGCAAATCATCGTTAGATATGACAAAAAATCCTATGATAATCTATATTTAAAAAAAAATAAAATATTAATTCATGTAAAAAAAAAATTAGATATTTTTAGATAAACTATAGATTACATATTCAATTATGTATATATCATTATAAATTATAAATTATTACAGATTCCCCGTCTTTATATCAAAATAATCACAAATTTTTCGATATGATCGATTAAATTATGCAATTTAATCAATTAACTAGGTCCTAAATATTATTATTTTATCCACATTATACTTTAAAATATTAATTTTAAAATTATAACAATATATTCGGTCAAGATGTTTAAAATTTAAAAACAAAATTTTCATAAAATACACCTTTCTAAGAAAATAATTCTTTAAGGAGATGTAAGTTATGTTTTCTAAAATCTACTACCTTCGATCCTAATTATAAGTAATATAGAATAAATTATTAAGATTAATAAAAATAGTTAATATTTTATTTTAATTTATTTTATTATAAACTCAAATTTTTTTTCAAATACACCCTCAACTTTAAGTGATTGTTGTATACAATGTTAGTTATAAGTGAATATATAGGACATAAAATTAATAATAAATAAATTGTATAAAAAATTAATTTCGAATAACTTCAAAAATCAATAATTATTACTTATAAGAATAATTTTTTTTTATTGGAAAGAAAAATTTAATTCACTACTTAAAATTAAGATCAAAAGTAATAATTTTTATAACAGTCTAGAAAAAATTAATTCAGACAAATATATAAGTAAAAAGTAAAAAAAAAAAATCTGCTTATTTTATTAAAAGGTGTTTTTATTTTATTTAAACAAAGGGCACATTCTGTTTTTAGACAACAACTAAACTAAAAAAATAATATTAATTTTAATTTGCACCCACATACTCCATTTTTAAACATTAACTAAACTTAACAGTTAAAACAATCTCATATATTATATTTTTAGACATCAAATTATACTTAAAACAATATGGATGTTAACATTGTACCCACATATTCTTTCTTTAGACACCAACTAAACTCAACATAATGTTGATTTCAACATTTAACCCACATTATATTTTTAGACATTATATTTTTAGACAATAAATTATAGATATGATAGAAATTATAGTTTTTATTATTATTTTATATAGTTAATGATAAAATTATATATTTGATGAGTATTGAAATTTAGAACACCAAATAAAATATTTATCAATTACCATAAATCACTTATTTATTGTATAAAATTTTTATAGTTAATTTATTATAATAATTTTAGTCACGTACTTAGTTGTATATACCAAGAACAATTCTTTTACTATACCTCCTTTTATGTCACCATTGCTTATTAGACGAAATAAATAGGAAATTCACAAAACTTATAAAAGTCTAGTGAAATCCCATACCTTCACTTTTTTAAACCCTAACTAACATTCATTTATTACAAATATTAAATCAATTAATTAAACGGTATCTAAACCTAACTTAAATAGCTTCTTTTAGTATTGGTTAGCAAACTTTAAAAAATAAAAGTTGAGCTATATTTTTGTCTTTCTATTTATTTTTAAGATTTAATTTAATTTTTTTTATTTTTTTTAAATATTTAATGTTATTATTTTATTCAAATTGACAATAACAATGTTAATGAAATTCAATGAAAGAATGATATTGAATATTATTTTGAAAATTAAATGACAAAATTAAATTATTTAAAATATTCTATTTGATCTTACTATTTTTAAAATATTGAATTTGGTCTTTTTATTTTAAAAAAAATTCAATCTTACTCAATATAATTAGTGTCAACTTAGACGAAAAATAACATTAAATATATTTTTTAAATTAAAAAACTAAATTAAATATTTAAAACAATTAAATTAAATTAAATCTTAAAAATATACAAGATTAAAAATATAAGAAAGGGTTTTCTAGAATGAAGTTTATTTGTAATTAGAGTTTTTAGATTTCCTTTGGAACTATTTATGAACTTATTTGCTTTCTAAACTTTATTTCAAATTGATCGGATATTGGAAAATATCACATTAAACCTAGTTTGAGAAAAGAAAATATTTATATGTGATGTCACATATTATACAATCACAGTTTTTCCAACATCCATACATGTTTCACCAATATTAAGTCAATATATTCTATCATCACATCCCAAATCACACAGATACATAAATCATCCATATCCACCATATCACACAACCATCACCATGTCATTATCACACCACCGCTATTGCAGTACACGCCTAGCGTCGTGCCACGCATACATCTGTACTAATTGCCACACATTCCACACTGTCATGCTCACGCCACTGCTGTCACCTCACACACCCAGCATCGTGCCACACATACATCTATGCTAATTGTCACACATTCTGTACTATGTCATGCTCACATCACTACTGTACATCACATGCGCAACATCGTACCACACACAAATTTGTGCTAATTGCCACACATTCGGCACTATGTCATGCTCATGCCACGGCTATTGCATCTTTAATTCACAATTAATTTACATTCCATCCATCACATACCATTTATACCTCTTCATACAATAGTCATTATTGGACATTATACAATTCACAACCATCATCAAAATCCATCAATATAATACCATATTTCACAATCTCACATCAAACTCATTTAATCATATCATAAGTACTATAAAGCATCACTAAGAAATCATAAAGTATCACAAACATGCCAAAAAGGGAGTCCCAAAATGTCAAAAACGCAAACTAAAATAAAATACTCGTGCCGAACACTGTAAATCTTGATAGTTTGACCTCTACTTACTACTTTGACCATAACTTGAGTTATACACATCCTTTTTTAGTGATTCCAGAGCCATTAGAAAGCTAACACCGAAAGCTACAACTTTTGTGAATAAGATGAAGCCTAAAAATGTTGTTAAGGTCACCTCGCATGGATATCAACAAAAAAAATTAGTATTTCACTCACTAGAATGGAGACTGAACTTTTTTTTTTGGTACATGAACGGGGTTATAAACCCAAACTAAAAACCTCTAAAAAATGCAACAGCCGACAAATCAGCAAGCAAAGCAAAATGGATCCAAGAAGGAGGATCGGAGAATATAACAATTCTATTCTGCAAACTACGTCCATGTTTGGCTAAGAGATCCGCAACTTGATTTGCTTCTCGAAATATATGGGAACAAGACACCTCGTGGTCATCACCCACAATGTGGACTATTTTGTTTACCAAAGAGTAACTATCGTGAGTACGAATACATCCTTCCTTTAGCAACTTTACTGCCACGGCAGAATCGGTCTCAACGCAGATGGCTCCACTCCAACTTCTTTCTCGCAGCAGTTTGATCCCATAAAAGATAGCCCAAAGTTCTGCTTGAACCACCGAACAGTTCCCCAATTTGCATGAAAAAGCCATGATAAAGTTTCCATTGTGATCCCTTGCAACTCCACCACATGAAGCAATACCGTAGCTAACAGCTCCATCACAGTTGAGTTTGCACGAATCCCTTGGTGGAGGGTACCACCGAATTGTACGTTGCTGAATTGCAGCGTGAGATATTCCACGTGGCCTTCCACCAAAACCTACACGTATAATCTCATTGGTTCTTCCCTTGATCTGAAAGACTAGCTGGGATATATCTCCCTCTATTTCGCCAAACACGACCTTATTTCTCCAATACCAAAACGCATCAACAGCTACAGCAAATAATATCCCCCAGTTTGGTTCCGAATGGCATCCATATGATAAGTTTGCTAATATCCAATCACACGCTGAAGCATACCGAAAGAACTCAGGGATCAAGTGGCCTTGTAGAAGCACATTCCATACTCTAGTAACCAAGTGGCAGTCACGAAGAATATGCATGGCAGTTTCCAGACCTGCATGACAA